GTTAGTATTATTATTTGTGAGAAAGTTCGTAGGATTGTTCTCCCTCATCAACTACGCTTTCTTATGGTATATGGATGTAAAGACATAGTAGCCCTTGATAACCTTAAAAATGGTAATTTAGAAGAACTTTGTGTTACTGAGTGTAATAATTTACAAATGAAAATCCCTCAATCAATCAAGAGATGTTTTGTTGATATACCTTCTGTTACAAGTGTAAAGTTTTAATTCATTTTCTCTTTTTTAACTATAATTTACTATATTATTTATTTATTATTTCAATAAAATTGATGAATTTTTCTATAAAAAAATTATTTGTTTTGTGATAAAAACTAGATTTAATTTTTTTGTATATATAATTCTTTAGAAGCAAAAAACTCACTGAGAATTACAGAATGTCAGTTTATAAGGGGATTGGTAATCAAGTTAGGATAAAAAATCTGAAAAAACAAGAGTATATCCAAGAAACGCCTTCTAAAAGAAAATTTATATTTGAGACGAATGACTTTAATGATGAGATTGAATCATGTCCATCTATTCCATCTAATATAGACTGTGGATTTAGACCAAAATTTGGTAAACTACAATTAGTAAATGGGAAAATAATTGAAGAACTTCCTCAACAAGAACAATCAAGTACATTCTCAATAAATTCACCAAAAAGTTATTTGAACTTTTTAAGCCAAGAAAATAAATCTTCTTATTCATTACCTTCAGACTTTGAAAGTGATGACCAAAATGATGGACCTGGTACAACAGTACTAATTCAACCTGGGGATAATGATTTAACTCCAGTGAAATCAACAGATTTTCCTCATATTTCAAATGACATCACAGATAAAGAAAAAATAACTACTATTAAAGAACAAAACAGTGAAAACAAAAGGGTTCTTAATATTTCTACATTAGAAGGAAAACAGAATAGCATTAACTTAAACCAAAACATTTTAGAAAAAACAAATGTAACTGGTGAAATTAAACTTCTCTCATCGTCTAAGTTGAAAGACCTTTCTTTAATAAGTGAAGATGATTTACCAGTAATTGAGAAAAAACAATTTAATTTTATTGTACCTCAACAACACTCTCCTAAAACAACAACACTAACCTTTGATTACCAAAATTTTGAAGAAAATTGAACGTCTTTAGTTATCTTCAAACTGTCATTAAAAAATGAATTTCTATCCATTTATTACTTATCTTGATTTAAATAACAATTATTATTTAGAAACTAGTAAAATATTTTATTACTTTTATCGTTTTTGATTTTAATTTTATTGAATAATAAAATAACAAAAAATAAACCATTAAGATTAAATAAATTGGTCTTTTGGAACATTTCCAATAATTTTTAATTGAGGAGAGCATCCTTTAAAACATGACTGACCAAAATAACAAATAGTAGAAGGGATTGATAACTGAGTTAAATTTGTACAATCTGAAAAACAATGGGCACCAATTCCTGTAAATGAATTTGGAATTTTAAAAGAAGTTAGTGAAGTACAAGTAACAAAATTCTGTTTGTTTAGGTATTTAACTGAACTAGGAAGTAAAAGTCCATTTAACACAATATCTCCAAATAATACTTTTTGATTTAATGTTATTAGGACATTAGGAATTTCCAATTTTTTTAAGTTATTACATTCCCAAAATATGTATGGTCCAAGTCGATCTATAGATGATGAAATAGTTACTCCAGTAAGATTATAACAATCAGAAAAACAATCAGCTCCTAAAGAAGATACTGATGAGGGTAATAAAATAGATTCTAAGTCAAAACAATTAATAAAACATTGTCGTCCAATTGATACAACAGAAGATGGTATTGAGATATGAGTTAAATTTAAACAATCTGAAAAACTGTTTGTTTTTAATGAAGTTATATTTGTTGGTATAATCAAATGACTGTTTTTTAAATCATATCCACAAAAACAATACTCTTTTATTTCACATACTTTTTTTGGTATGTTCTTACCAAAAGTATCAAGGTCTCTTGATGAATAATAAACATGACAATAATGAACATTGTCTTTTACTTTCCTATTATATTCTTCATATGATACTTCGTAACATATCTTTATTGTTTTAATTCTTTTGTCATTAAATAATTTATCTTTTCTATTGTACAAACAGAGAGTTTGAAGGTTAGGAAAATACTTTTTTGTTTTTATTGTTAATGAAACTGGGTTATAATGAAATTTTGACATTAAATTTGAATATTTTTTGTTTACCATTTGGATATTTTTAAAGTCATCAATTGTAGCAAAGTAGTTTGAAACAATCATCATTGAATATGGATCAATTTGTGAATATGACATAGGATATTTATTTAATAAAATAAATAAATTAATGTAAACTTTTTATTTTTTTTATTATTTTGTTGTTTAAATAGTTTATTAGATTAATTAAATCATGATTATATTAAATTATATTCAAATTCATTCATTTATTAAAATATTAACAGATTCTGCAATTATTTTCATTTTAATATCATTAGAATTTTGAAAAGCATAAATAAGTAATTTTACAATTTGAGTATCTAATGGAGTTCTATAATTTGTTCTAGCAATAGAAGTCATCCAATCTAAAGTATTTTTGATAGATTGTTGCATTTTTTGGATGATTGAATTAGAAGAATGAAGGTCAGGGAGGTCATCATAATAATCGATAATAGGAGCATCTTTTACTCTAAGAACCTTTTCACCATCTTCATTGACTTTTAAAGAGCTAAAAAGAAATGATGTATTATTTGGAACAATTTCATAAATGAATTGAATTGGAGGGAGTAATGAAGGTAATTGAATAGGGATTGAATCTTGACAATAAAATTGTTGACCTGATAAAGACAATATAAGATTTGCATTACATTTTTCATATTGTTTTGTAGTATAATTATAAGAATAATACATTCTTTTCTTTAAAGTAGCAACTGATAAATATTGAAGATATTTTGGATAAATTATATTATTATTAAAGGAAGGTTCAAACAAAGGATAAAAGGAAGCAATTAATAATGGAATATTTTCATTTGATGGTTCAATTGAATATTCACCAAAACCAGCATTAATAAGACCAATAGAAGTAGATAAAATAGAATAAGAACCATAAGTTAAATATTCATCAACAATAGGATAAATTGATTTAAGTAAATCCATTACTTCTGTATCTTGTGAACCTGCCATTACAATACTTAAAGAAAGAAGAATAATTTTTTGATATCTATCGAAATGAGGAATATTTAAACGAGTTTTTTTATTTTTAGTTGAAATTGCACAATTTAAATTTGATGTTAATTTATTTAAAAAATGAATAAATAAATGTTTTACTGGTTTACTTAATGTACCTGCATATCTTAATGAAATAGCATAACAACATGCAGAAACAATAGCAAATTTTGAATTCATTATTTCAAATACAGAAAATTTATTAGTTTTAAGAATTTGAGGAATATTTGAATAAATCCATTCTTTTGAAGGTAAAATAGAATCAAACTTAATAAGACAGATTGATAAAATTCTTATAAAAATATCATCTGGTCTTGAATTTGCTATTTCTTTTAATGAATCATCAATAGTAAGTAGTTGAATAATATCTTTATTAAATGTATTAAAATAAGAAAGACCTAAACAAATACAAGAAGAAGGTATTCCAACTAAAGTACTAACTCTATTATTATAAATACAATTTTCATTAAAACTTTCTTGATATTGAATTGGATTACAATATTGTTGTAATGTAGAATAATATGTTCCAAAAAGTAATCTTTTCATTATTTCAATATGATTAAATTCTAATCCTTTATTAAAATGAAGACAACCAAGTGCAAAACATGAAGACCAAATATGATGAAATCCAATAGTATTTGTTGGTAAAGGAGAACATAAATGTGAAATAATAATATTATCTTTATCTTTTGAAGGATTAGATTGTGAATTAAATGCTAATGTAATTAATGCAAGACTTTGACTTTCTAATGAAGGAGATCCAATAGATGAAGTATTAAGTATAATTTGACTAATTTCATCTATAATAGGATTATTTGTTAATCTAAATTGAATAATTAATCCTAATAAAACAGCAGCATCAATACGTTGATCTTGCATAGTTAATGTTTTAAAAAGAAAATCTTTTTCAAGTGGCATAAATCCACCACGAAGACATTTACCAAAAAATTTACCAACAGAAATAGGATCTAATTCTAAATGAGTATCAATATCTATTGTACTTGATCCACATAATCCAAAAGTAATAGCATTAGTAAATTCAATAATATCTTTTGTTTGAGTAGAAAGAATATAAGGAATTGGAATTGAGTTATTAGTTCCTTCTATAACAATATCATCTTCATCAATTTCAATTTGATTAAAATATAATAAATTTCTACCTGAAGGAAGAGAAATTTTTTTATTAATTAAAGAAATTAATTTAAGATTATATTCTTCTATATCTTCATTATTAATATTAATTCTTTTACTTACATCAAGAAGATCTAAAACTTCTTTAAAATGTTCTTTTTGAGGTAAAGGTAAAACAGGTAATTCATTTTTCATTAAATCAAATCTTTTTAAATAAGTTAAAATAGTATCATTAAATTTCATTTCTGGTTCTTTTGTTGTTGAAGTAAGAAAAGGAAGAAGAAAATGAAATATAGGACTTAATAAATGATTAATAGCATTATTAGTTTCACATACTAAATTATCTAAAGGAACATTAACTAAACTATTTAATTTATTTTCTACATTTTGATTAACTAATTGATAAAATTGTTTAATGATATTATTATGAATTTCATTTCCACTAACTAATTGAATAACATTTTCTAAAAGAGAATTAATATTTTGGTTCATTTGATTTTTTTTTTTTTTAAATTTAATTTAAAGTTCTTTTAAAAAGAAAGAAATAAAAAGAATAGATTTAAATTAAATTAAAAGTAAAGAAAAAAAAAAAGAGATTTTTACTTATTATTCTCTATTGATTAATTTCACCAAATAAATGTCTAGCAAAGACAATAGCTTCAATAGCAGTTTCTTGTTGAATAGAAAATTGATAAGGTGTTTTAGTTCCTACAACAGTAATTTTTCTAGTATCAATATTAAATCCAGATAATGAAGATTGTAATTTTGTTTTAATAATAATATGAGGTTTAAAAATATTTTGCATATCAGAAATAAATGAAGGTTTTCTAATTCGAAGATATTCAGTAGCTTCTTCATTAATTTCAGCAGTAAATTGAAATGCAATAATTGCTCTATTATTTTCATCAAATTTAATAATTTTAGTAAGTAAATGATCATTTATTTTTTCTGGTTGAGTAAACATTTGATTTACTGGTGAATAATTAGTAATACTATCTAATTTAACTCCATATAATGGAATTTCTATAGAAACAGCATCATATTTAAGTCTAGTAAATACTGGATCAACATCAATTATAATTTGTATTTTAAATATTGAATGATCATAATCAATAATATAAGATGCAGTAAATAATTGTTGAATAGTTTTAGTATTAGATATAGATAGTTCAGGATTAACATTATAATAACATAAATTAAATTGATAATTTGGTGGAGAAATTTTAATATCAGTAGCAAAATTTTCTATTGTCGAAGTTGGAATAGCAGAATAATATAATGATAAATTTTGTATAACTTGATCTAAATTCACATTTCCTTCTTTACCAATACAAAATCCTAATGACATTTCAGGTGCTCCTTGAAGATTTAATTCTGCTTGAACAACTCCTTTAAATCCAATAATAGATAAATTTCCGTCTTGAGTATTTTCTTCATTTGAATATAATAAAAATTCTGAAATATTAAATCTTCTATTGATATTAGAATTATTTTTATTTATTTTTTTGTTTTTATCTTCTAATTTAATTAATGATTTTATCCATTCACTATCTAAACTTTCTAATGGAGTACCATATGGACAACTTATTTGTAATTTTTTTACTAATTCATAATTTAATGCTTGATTATATTCTTCTTTTGTTCTTTTCTTTTCATTATCAAAAAATTTTCCACATAATTTTTCAATATTTTCTAAAAAACTTATTCCCATTAATATATTTTTTTGTTTTATGTAACTTTTTTGTTCTGAAGATGATATTACTATTGCTGGAATAGTAATAAAAATTATTGAATTGTTTTTAACTAAATAAATACATGAAATTGGATCTTTTCCTAAAAAGGAAAGTGTAAAATTCATTGGTGAATCAGGAGAAATAATTACTGTATCTTCTCTTTTAACTTCATGAGAAATATGTGTAGAAAATTCAATAGCTTGTTTGAGATAATCACATATCTCATTATCTTTTGGAAGATTACAATATCTTTCTTGTTGTAAATTTTTTAATCTTTGATTAACAGTTGGAAATTGTTTTGAAAAAATAACAGAATATTCATAAAATTCACTTTGTGATGTTGAGGTTTCTACTCGTTCAATAAAATCACTACGTTTTCTTTGAATAATCCAAATCCCTCTAAAAGATATCATTTTGTTATAATAATAACTAATTTCTTAGTTCTTTCTTTTTATTTTTTTTTCTATTTTAATAACCATATAATAACTATAACTAAATTATAATTAAATTAAGAACAGAAAGAATGTGAGTGATAAAACATAGTAATGAAAAAAAAATTATCAATCTTCTAATTTTTTAGTTGATTGTGATGAATTCTCTTGAATTAACATTTCTGTATTTTTAAAAGTATTTGATAATTTATCAATTTCTTTTTGAAGTTCAGTAATTTCAGCAAGTAATTCTGCTTTTTGTATTGAAAGAGATGATAAAATATAATCTAAATCTAGAATTCTATGAGATTTTAATTGTATATTAAAAGATTGAAGTGTTGAATCAATAGAAAGACTTGAATCATATGAAAATGAAAATGAAGGAAAAGATGTATTATCATCAATATTTAAGATTGAATGTCTTCTACTTTTTTGATAAGGAGTTAATTCTTCATCTGATAAATATGGAGATATAGAACATGATTGATAAATAAGATCTGATTTTAATAATGGTTCATTATTATGTGGAGATAATGAAGGTGATATTGTATATTGAAAGGATTTTCTATGAAGATTTTGAGGAGAATTAATTGGAGATTTTGTAAATGCCATTGAATAACGATTTGAAATTGATGGTTTTATAATTTCTTGTATAGGTTCATTTGTAAATACTTCACTGTTTGAAGATGAAATTTTCTTCTTTTTTAATGATTTTGTTTGAGATGAAATTGTTGTTGAAGTAATAGGTAAAGGTATTGATTGAACTTTTATTGGTAATGAACCATGACGACGTAATTCTGGAGAGATTAAATTATCATAAGACATTGTATTTGTAGTTGTAATTGGATATAACATATGTTGTTGTTTTGTTTTATCATTAGGAGAAAGTTTTTGTAATGATTTAGATGAAGAAATTTCAATTATTGGAGATTGTTTTCTTTCTAAATAAAGAGTTGGAACACTACGAGATAAAGATTTTGGATGAGAAGGGAAGGGATGTGAAGATTTAAATACATCATTTTGTACATCATTAAATCTTTTTTTCTAAATGAGATGAGGAGATAACATAAAAAGAAAGAATAGAAGACAAACGAGAAAATTGATGAAATAAATTGGAATTTTGATTGGTAATTTTTTAAATAGAACATAATGATTTAAACAAGCCATAGCAATGAAAAATTCAATAATACTCAGTTGTGAATCTCTATCTATATCAGAAAGTTTCATAAGTTCTTCAATATTAACCACACCATTGAGTTGAATAACAATTTCAAATAATTGATTTTCTAAATAAAATGAACTTAATGTTTTAAAAGATAAATAAGAAGTACTCAAATAAAGATAAAATATTTTTTTTTTTAAAAAAAACAAAAACAAACTTGATACTTTTGGATTATCTGGAGTTACAATTTGATTAAAAGATTGGAGTATTTGATTGATTTTTGATGAGGTAAGGAAAAATGGACATTGAATATTTGGTGATGGATAAGGTGGAACTGAGTTTTTTAGTAGAGTCTTATCAACTTGAATTCCATTTTGTGCAAATGAAACATATCTCAATGCTGTCACAAATTGAGATAATTCCATTGGTTTTTTTGGTGGAACAGATAATGACCAAATGATAGCCAAAGTATTTTGAGGGAGGTGAGTGTATTGGAAGAATTGTTGAGCATCATCTACACCTATTTTATCATCACCATCAAAGTCAGCAATTTTAAATAAGAAATCAACATCTAAAGGAGGAGTAAACAAATGGTTCATTAATGTAGAGATAAATAGGAATGAATTGGAAAGTTCATTATAAAAACAAATAAAATTTTTATAAAAAAAACAAAACAAAACAAAAATAAAATAAAATGAAGAATCTAAAAACTATAATAAATAAAGACTATGTTACAATTCATTACAAAATTATATTATAAATATATTGGAAGAAATACTGAATATTATGATTGGTTTTTAATTAATATTGTATTACATCCTCAAAATGTATATGAAAGTTGTAAATATCAACATAGTTTAACACAACAATGGAATAGAAGAGATCATGCAATTACAAAAATTATAACTTTATTTAATATTATTTTATCATTTATTTTCTCTATAACATTTGTTTCACCAATATGGATTATTCCTTATATTCTTTTTGATGTTATTATTCCAATGATTATTGGTATTATAATAGCTATTATTCTTTTCTATTTATGTAAAAGTTCATTTACAACTGGTGATACATTTACTGTACGTTATTCTTATGATATTCATATTAATGCATATTTTTGTTATTTATTAGTATCACATGTTTTTATATTTATATTATCACCTCTTCTTTTTAAACCAACATTATTAGCAACAATGTTTAGTAATATAATTACTTGTTTATCTATTATTTATTACATTTATATTACTTATTTAGGATATTCAATTTTACCATTTATCTCTATCCCAAAGAAAGTTTATATTATTCCAATGTTAGTAGTAATTGTTTTATTCATTTTATTTACTTTTCTTAATATAAATGTTTCTCTTCTTCTTCTTTAAATTTATTACTTTGTCTGTTTCTCTTCATTTTTGTTTTGATTTGTCCTTTTTCTCATCTTAAAAATAATAGACTTTTTAAGTTATTTTATGATAAGAATTGACGAAGACTCTAAACTTAAAGGTATTTATAAAATAGCTGCTTTACTTCCTTCATTAAAAACTTCCCCTATTGTCATTAAACAACAAACTCTTCCATATACTTCAATCCCTTCAATAGAAAAAAATTCTGAATTATCTTCTTTACAAGACCTTCCCAATGATATTTTTTATAATCCAAATTCAACAACCCAAAAGACATCTGAAGATTTTACTATTTTTCAAGACATTAATCAAGAAAATGATATTGATGAAAATCGTGTTGAAGCAATTAAAGAAATGTTAACAAAAGAATTTGGACGAGTTTGTTTTTATTACTTTTTTTTATAAACTTCACATTGATTCATTTTATAGGCTATAATTGAACAAAATTTTGAAAAAAATCATCTTGTTGGTGTTCAATCAGTTTTAGAATTTGCTAAACGTAAACAATCAAATTTATTAGATTTACCTACTGCTTCTCTCAAATCTAAAACATTTTTGAGAATTGTAGATGAAAGTTTATATACAGAATTAATGCAACAATCAGATATATTATTAAATTCATTATCAACTGTTGATTCTCTTGAAACTCAATATAGAAATATTGCAAATCAATTAACAGAAATTACTACTTATTTCTATCAAATTAAAAACACTTTAGATTCTTATTTTTCAAAATCATCTCTTTCATTCTTACGATACAGAAATTTATGTAGTGTTCAACATCTTTTAGATCAAATTCATTCATGTTCAAATTTACTTGAAGATGCAAATAGTACAATTGAAATTGATCCAATTCAATCCATTGATATGATTGATCGTGCATTAAATGGACTAAACAAATTATCTACTATCCAATGTTCTCAACAACTCATTATTAAAGCAAATGGAATAAAGAAAACTATTACAGATAAAATTATAGAGAAAAAGAAAGATATTTATGAAATATTAAGTAAAATAAATTATCAACCATCAACAATATATGAATTTAATGAACAAAGTTGGATGAATGAATTTGATCAAGAACGAAAAATATTTACAGATATTATAGTTGGTTTTGAAAAAATTGGTAAATTAGATTTTCTTATTGAAAATGTAAAGAATATGATTTATCGTGCATTTATTAATCTTCCATATAAAACATTTCCAAACTATCAATGTTTGTTTTCTTTATTTTTATTATTTTATTATTCATTTCTTTCATTTTTGTACAATAATAAAACAATAATTACTATTAGCAAATCTATTTGATGAAGGGAATGGAAATTTAAAAGAATATAAATTTTATGTTGACAAATTGAAAGAACTTTCGTTTAATGAATTTGAAATATATGTCAAGAATGTAATGAATAAAATTACTAGACTTGGGTGTTTAGTAGTAATTTTTCAAATGTCTATTCATCTTGAATTAGAACAAAGTCAATCTCCTCAAAAAAATTTAATTGATAAAGTAGATAAAATGATAAGTGTAGTTCGAAATTCAATCAGAAAAACAACTAAAATAATCATAGAAGAAGGAAATTATGAAAGAGTTTCTTTAGAAGAAATTGTTATATTTGGTAATATGGTAAAAGATTTTTTACATTCACTTCATGTAGTTCATAAAAAGAAATTTAATTCTCTTGAAAATATTCATCAAATCTATTTAAATGGATTCTTTAACAATCTTCATAAAAACAATATAAATAAACTTCAAAAAATCATTGATTTTGATGATTTAAGTACCATTGAAGTGGAAGATGAAATTTTTAGAATTATTAATACTATTGTAACACAGATCATTATTCCACCATTAACTTGTTCTCTTGGAGAAAAAAATGAACAAGGCAAAACAAAAATTATTGTTATTAATAATGAAACTTATTTTATGACAAACACAATGAGTATTTTATTACCAACATTAGAGAGATATCGAGAAATTATTACTAAGTTTCCTTTATTAGGAGAATCTGCTTTAAGTAGTGCAAAAGATATGTTAATACTGTACAATGATTCTATGAGAAGATTAGTCCTAGGAAAGGAACTCATTCAAAAGGGAGTTGTTCAACGCATTGGAGCAACAATGTTTACAACAACCCACCAAACATTATTATTACTTTCATTAATAACACCTTATCTTCATCATTATCTTTCACCAAATGTTATCATTTCTGGAAGAATTTTGGATGGAATTGAAGATTTAATGAAAGCACAATGTACCGACATAAGAAATGCAGTAACTATTATTGTCAAAAATAGAGTTGCTTATTATCTTCAAGTTCTAGAACAAAGTAAATCATCAACACAAAATGTTTCTGCTACTCCACAAAAATTTACTATTTTCGGTAGAAATAAACAACCTAATACTCCAGTGACTAGTCCATCCCAATTCAATGCTCTTGATCTAAAGAATTTACTTAATAAAATTATGGGAGAGATCGTTGCTTTAAACGCATTACTAAAAAAAAATCTCAGAAGCATTGATTATAAATATTGTATGTTTGAAGAGTCAAGACATCTTAACTCACTAAGAGAGGAGTTTGACAAACGGTCCACAGAAGAAAATTTGAAAAACCAAGTCAGTAACGATCTTCACCAAATTTCTGTTGCTATTCATGAAGGTCTAAAGAACAACACTACAATCAATTTTGATAGAACAGAAACACCACTTATTATGAACGAAGAAAAATACAGCACAGATAGTGATGGTGATTTGGAAATATTCAGAAAAAGTTTAGATCTTTCTAGAGAGCCAAACCAACAAGAAGTTCCTTTAACTACTCAAAGTTTTGATATTACTAGAACACAATCTACAACGATTGTTAAATCTCCTCAGAGTGTTGATAATTGATCAGTTACCTTTTTTTTATTTCTACTTTATTAAAAAATTATTATTTTATTCCTAATTCTATTTATATAATAATGATGGCATATTCTTTGAAGGGATCGATACTCTTATGTTTGTCAAGAAAATAAACTATACTATTAACAAATTTAATTTAACTGAAAGCGTTGTCACTAAAATTAAACAGGTTTATACAAAATAATCAGTTAATAATTTCTTTGTCTATTCAACTTCATTAAAAGAATTTTTTTCTTGATTGAACATATTTAATTCCTATTTTAAATAAACTATTTTTTAAAAGAAATATAAACATTTAAATATAACTATTCATTTAAACTCTTTTTAGATCTTTTCTTTAAGTAATAATTATAGTAACAGAAGAACAATTCTAGTTCTAAGAGTATATTTAAATCATTATAACAAATCAATTTGTAAAAATATATGTTATTTTTTACATTTTATAAATAATAATGTAGGTAGTGTTAAAAAGATTTCTTAGTGATATCGTTATATATAAGCACTATCATTATAATTATTTATGGATAAGATTTGTAAAATGAAACGAATGATTAATGATTGTAAAATGTAAAAAATTGTGTCATTCAGTTTCTATTATGAAATAATAAATGATGCTATAAAAACAATTAGGTGATTGAAAAGTATATAGTGTTTCAGTAGAATTAAGACGGTTTTATAAAATACATAATTAATTCAAGTTCTGTAAAAATAGTATTCTTTTTATTGAGATATTTAGAATATATCACAAGCATTATGGAAAATAAAGTGAAAAAGAAAAACTTATTTTTAAAAGAACAAAAATTAATTTAACTTAGTTTTGGTGATTTGGAGTCCAATATCAACAACTCTATTAGTGCACAAAGAATCAACTCCAATTGAGTATTGTTTCTTTGCAATTTCTAAATCATCATTTTCATCTCCATAAGTAATGACAATGAGTCCCTTTTCATGTGCAAGTTCTACAAGTTTTGGTTCTTCAAGTATAGCTTTTGCATTACAAACTATTCCCATAATTTGGTGTCTGAGCGCAAAATTAATTCCATTGAGTAATGAGTGTCTTCTTGTATCAACAATTCGATTATCAAACTTTCCTTCAGTTAAGAAAGCAATAGGATATTTCATCTGTTTTTTATTTAACAAGGCAATAGTATCAGGATCAAATGAAGAGAAAAATATTTTTCTATTCTTCCCATATGCAAAAATGTCTTGAAGAATTCGATTTAAATATTCATTTCGTTCCATATAACCAAGGATTCTTCCTTCTTCTGGACAGTTCCAGTATTTAATTTCAATATCAAATCCTACTTCTTCAGGAACCATTTGAAGTAATTCAGCTAGTGTTGGGAAATTAGACTGAAATTCTGATACTTTTTTAGTACTTTTCTTTGATTTAATCATTCCCTCTTCATCAAATTCTTTAAATTCATAAATAGAAGAATTTGGATCAACTTTGAGTAATTGAGCAATAGCTAATTCCAATTCATCTTGTTTTTTTAAACGATCAACAAAGGCAGAGTCATCAACTGAAGTTGGGTGTGTCGTTGATGTATGGAGAGAAATTTTATGACTTTTTAAGTATTCTTCATAATAGTTATGGTCAAGTACAATTGGTTGTAATTTTCTAATTTGTTCATACGTTAGTTTGTTGACTGGAACTCTAATCACCTGGGGATGTCCAAGAAAATCTGTAGTTTTTAATTGAAGCCAAAAGTCGTGATGAATTATAGGAATCTTATCCAAAGTTAATTGAACATCAAATTCAATAAAATCAGTGTGATGTCTAGAAGAAGTAAAAAATGCGTTTAGAGTATTTTCAATAACAACAGAATTTTTTATAATATTTCTGTTTGTAGCACCGAATCCCCTATGGCTAATAATCTTATTCTTTAGGTCTATGTGAATAGGTTCGTCAACCTCACTTTTAAAGGCATTAAACAAAATATATCCAACTTCTAATTTTCCAACCTTTTTTCCTTCACATATAACTGGTCTAAATAAATGTCCATATTCAACAAACTCTTCAGTAATAAACACAACTTTCCCAATAAGGATTTTTCCTTTTGTTGTTAATAGTTTAATCTCAAGATTAAAATCTGTTTTTTCATTTGCTCGAACTTGGATATGATTCTTTTCATTATTAACACACCCTTTCTCAGAAAGAACTTCTAGTTCAAAGGGCTCTTTTATATTGTCTAAGTAAATATTTGAATATCCTGACTCAGTAATATCTCCAAACCAAAGTCGTAATTCCCATCCTTTTTGTAAGCATGGTGACCAACTACTCATAATCTTTCAATAAATTATATAATTCTGATTTGTTTCAACTTTTTAAGTTAAAGCTCTGTACAAATAAAAAAGATGTTATTCGAAATTGGTAGAAGTTTTTTTCTCATCCATAACTTTTTCTGGACGTTTCTTCACACCGAGAATGTATTAATCAAAAAACTTTTGTTTTTATATTTCTTTGAATAGTAATTTAATAAATTTATTATTTATCTATACAGAATTAGTTCATTTATTACTTACTTATGACTCACCCCTCCTCTCCTTGCTCTATTATTTTTGTACGGAGCCTAGTCTCCTTACACCTTAAATTTTGGTTTGTTTAAGTGAGTTTGTAATAATTTCCATTCCTAATTTGTTTTATCTACCAACTACATTTATACAAAACTTATTTTTTAATTTTGTGTTATAAAACAAAAACATATCTTTAATAAAATGTTATTTTATAAGAACTTTTAATATTATGATAGAAAGACAAATCAAATAAAAGAATGAAATTATAATGGGATAGTTACAAATAATAAAAGAATAAGAATTGATTTTTGTCTGATGAACAAAAACCAAAAAACCAAGAAAAAGGGTTTTTGTTATCACAAAAAGGAAGAATGAAATTCTTAAAATATTTTTTTGTGGAAAATATTTTTGAGTTGACAGAAATCTTATATTTTCAATTGAAATGGAAGCTTTCAAAATTAACGCTGCTGCAGTGACTCGTGATTATATTGTTAATCCTGTTCTTGGTTTGTTTTTTTTTAAGTTAAGAAGAAGAAATTTTAATTACAAACACAATTTATTATTTATGAAACATAATAAATAAACAATAATCCTACGTTGTTATAAAAAGAAATATGAACGATAAAAGATATTAATAATTAGATTATAGAACAGTGACTAGTGTTAATGGACCATTAGTTATTCTTGATAATATTAAAGGACCAAAATATAGTGAAATTGTAAACATTAAATTAGGAGATGGAAGTGTCCGTAAAGGACAAGTTTTAGAAGTTACTGGCAATAAAGCTGTTGTACAGGTTTTTGAAGGAACTTCAGGGATTGATGCACGTTATACAAGATGTGAATTTACAGGAGATGTTTTGACAATTCCAGTTTCAGAAGATATGCTTGGTAGAGTTTTCAATGGATCTGGTAAACCAGTTGATAAAGGACCTAATGTTATTGCAGAAGATTATCTTGATATTAATGGACAACCAATTAATCCAGCAAATAGAGTATATCCAGAAGAAATGATTCAAACAGGTATTTCTGCTATTGATGTTATGAATTCTATTGCTAGAGGACAAAAAATACCAATTTTCTCAGCTGCAGGATTACCACATAATGAAATTGCAGCTCAAATTTGTAGACAAGCAGGTCTTGTTAAACACAAAGGACTTGGTGTTGTTGATAATCATGAAGATAATTTTGCTATTGTTTTTGCAGCTATGGGAGTCAATATGGAAACAGCAAGATTCTTTAGACAAGATTTTGAAGAAAATGGTTCTATGGAAAGAGTTACATTATTCTTAAATCTTGCTAATCATCCAACTATTGAAAGAATTGTTACACCTCGTCTTGCATTAACTACTGCAGAATATTTTGCTTATACATGTGATATGCATGTTCTTGTTATTTTAACTGATATGTCATCATATGCTGATGCACTTCGTGAAGTTTCAGCTGCTAGAGAAGAAGTTCCAGGTCGTAGAGGATATCCAGGTTACATGTATACAGATCTTGCTTCGATTTATGAAAGAGCAGGTCGTGTTAATGGAAGAGTTGGATCTATTACCCAAATTCCAATTTTAACTATGCCAAATGATGATATTACTCATCCAATTCCAGATCTTACTGGTTATATTACTGAAGGACAAATTTATGTTGATAGAAATATGCATAATAGACAAATTTATCCACCAATCAATGTTTTACCATCATTAAGTAGATTAATGAAATCAGCTATTGGAGAAGGTATGACTCGTGAAGATCATTCAGAAGTATCAAATCAATTATATGCTAATTATGCTATTGGTAAAGATGCACAATCAATTAAAGCAGTAGTTGGTGAAGAAGCACTTTCAATGGAAGATAAATTAGCATTAGAATTTCTTGATAAATTTGAACAAAAGTTTATTTCACAAGATTATTATGAATCACGTGATATTTTCCAATCACTTGATCTTGCATGGTCATTATTAAGAACTTTCCCACGTGATATGTTGAAAAGAATTTCAAATGAAACTTTAGACAAATACTATGATCCAAATCCTGATGAAAGAATAGATGATAAAGAAGGAACCTTATAATAATACATAAAAAGGCTATTTAATTGAAAAAGAAGTATTAATTTACAAATAATAATTTTCAACTATTTTATGATTTGTTAAATAATTGTAATAAAGAAACAATAAATCAAATATTAATAGAATTATTTTCTCTTGTTTCAAAGAAATTAATCTTATCACTATCATCAATTCATTTAATTGAGTATATTTAGTTATGATAGAAAAAATATCCTATGACATCTATCATATTTTTAACAATAATATTTTGATTTCTTTGCTATTGTTAATTTCCATTTTTAATTCCTTTATTAATTTAATCTTTTCTTTATTTTCTAGTCATTTATAGAGTCACTACTGCGATTGTTTTCATATTTTATTTTCTTTATTCTGTTTATCCTTTTCTTATTTAACTTTTTATTTAACCAATTTGTTGTGAAACAATACAACACTTCATTTGTTATTTTATTTCTTTATTTTATTGTAGTTTCATTTCTTATTCTTTGTTTATTATATCTTCTTTATTTATATTTATTTCTTCTTATTCTTTATTTCTTTATTTTTCATTCTTGTTGTTTATTTCATATTTATATTCATTGTTGTTATTATCATTATTGTTGTGTATTTATTATTATTGTTTATTTCTCTATTTCATTGATAAATTTCATTATCATAATGATGTATTGATATTATTTTATATTGTTATTCTTGTTGTATATTATTTATCTTTTCTTCTTATTCTTACTATTATTTCATTTTATTATTATTTATTGTTTGTTTTGATTTATTTATTTATTTCTTCTTTACCTTATCACAACTATCTCATTGACTTCAGACATGTCCTCATTATCTCTTATTTCTCTAATGAGTCTACTTTCTTTATTTTACTTTTATTAATTATCATCATTTGTTTATCATTTTCATTATTTGATTAGAAATAGATTGTTCTGTTTATTTATGTTTTCATTTCTATCATTATTTTGTGATATTATCATTCATTGTGATGAGATGTTTTGTTATTTCTTATTTTTATTATCTTCTATTTTGTTAATTTTATTATTGTTATTTAAAATATAAAAGATATTTAATAAAATTTGTTATAATGACAAAATAATAAAATAGTAAGTAAAATAAAGTGTTATAAACCTGTATTTAGTTATTTAATCATCTGGCTTTGATCTGATATTCATTAAATTAAAATGGAAGAGTTAATAAACAAGAACACCCTGTTGTATAAAGAAGTACTAGAAATATTTTCAAATATTCAACAATCAATTGATGATACTACTAAACATTATCAATATTATTTAGGAAGTATTAAAAATGAAATATTTGAAATTCAAGATGATGAAACACTTGAACAAGCCGTTAAAAGAGGAGAAGGGATGATTGATAAAAATGATGAAACAGAAAGAAGAAGAAAACTAGTAATAGAAAAAAGTCAAGAAACAATTAAAAGAATAGAAATAATAAAGAATCAAATGAACAAAATAATAGAAGAATGTAATGACAATGAAGAGATAATAAGTAAAACACGGAATGAAATAATCAATACAATCATTTCAATTGAAGAAATGATAATGAAAAATAAAATATTCAGAAAACCAAAAGAAAAAGATAAAATCACGGAAGAATTTAACAAAAATAAAGAAGAATGGTTTACACATTATAGTGATTATTTTGAGAGGAAGAAGAAAAAAGAAGAAGAAAGAAAGGAAATCGAAGAAGAGAGAAAGAGACAAGAAGAAGAAAAAAAGAAATTAGAAAAAGAAAAAATAAAGACTATAAGAAGGAAAGCAGTTGAAGAAATTCACCAACTAGAAGAATGGACTTCAAGAAAAGCATCCAATATACTATTTGATTCAGATAACGATAATTGGAATGAAGATACATCAATATTTCATCAAAGAATAATAAACAAAGAACATATAATAATTATTATTGAAGATTCAGATGGAAATAAATTTGGAGGATATGTTAATGAGAAAATTGATAAAGTTAATAATTATATAAATGATCCGAAATCATTTTTATTTTCAATAGAATCAAAAGGAAGAATAGATGAAATGATGAAATTTGATATTAAAAAACCAGAATATGCATTTTGGTTATATGGTCAATCAGATAATTGTTTGTTTACATTTGGATGTGGAAATGGATGTAAAAATGATATTTGTGTTTATAAAGAAAATGATAAAACAAAATCATGGTGTGACCAACATTCATATGAATTCAAAGGAATGTTAAATGCACTTTGTGGAAAACAAATTTCAGAATATTTCACACCAGAACGAATTATTGTAATTGAAATGAAATGATTTTTATTCATTATTATTTATTTGAAATATAATAACTAAAAAAGAATATAAAATAAAATCAATAAATGAATATGAACATTTCATCTATCAATGAATGAAATGATGAATATAAAAATGATCATATTTCATTCTGGTTTTATTTCATTTGAAATATTCATATTTATTGTGTTAATTTAATAAATAATAAAAAGAAATAAGAATAAAAGATAAATAAAAATATAATAAAATATTTATTTTATTCTTTTTTATTTATTTTTTATTTTATTTATATTATTTTATATTTATTTATTTTATTCTTCTTCTTTTATCTTTATATTTATTATATATTTCTTATTTTATTATTTATGTTATATTCTTATATCATTTTATTCTTATTTTATATTTATTCATTATTATTCATTTCATATTAACATTGTTAAATATCAATACAACATAATAAATAAATGATATAAGATAAACAACAATAAATAATAATAAAATATAAACAAACAATATAAACAAATATAAAATGATAAAATATAAAATCAAATATAATAAATAATAAGAATAAGAATGAATATATCTTATTTTATTATTATATTCTTCTCTTTATATTCTCTCATTTTATTATTTTATATATTTATTATAATTAATTTGTATATCAATTTCA